TGGAAACTGACTACTCTGACACATAGTGCTGTCACAAGGTGGTGAGCGAATAGTCCTCAGCTCTATCTAAGATTCAAGACATGCTTTACACATAGCCCACTCTGTTAAATCCCAGCACTGGAGGGGACAAGTAAATATTTGCTGCTGGTGGGGCCATCCTGAAGTGGCAAAGTACAGGTTCACATTAATGTAAATTACTCAGAATATGAAGCATCTACCACAGGGGTCTCCAAACCTCCTAAACAAAGAGCAAGTTTACTGGCCTTCAGAATTCAAGGGGGGCGGACTGTGGCCCGGCATCAGTAGGAGTAAACAATGCATCTTTAGTAATAGGGGGAAGAATAGCGCCATTGTTGGTGTCAGTGGGGGGAATAGTGCCCCTTTGTTGGTATCAGTACGAGAAGTAATGCCCCATTGTTGGTGTCAGTGAGAGGATTAGCACCCCGGTTTTGGTGTCAGTGGGAGGAATAGTGCCCCATAATTAGTGTCAGTGAGATTTTATGGCCCCATCATTGGTGACAGTGGGTGGTATAGTCCCCCTTCATTGGTGTCAGTGGGAGAAATAGTGCCTCGTTGTTGGTGTCAGTGGGAGAATATTGCGCCATCGCTGGTGTCAGTGGTTGGTATAGTGCCTCATCATTGGTGTCAGTGGGAGGTATAGTCCCCCTTCATTGGTGTCAGTGGGAGGAATAGTGCCCCGTTGTTGGTGTCAGTGGGAGAATATTGCACCATCGCTGGTGTCAGTTGTTGGTATAGTGCCTCATCATTGGTGTCAGTGGGAGGAATAGTGCCCATTGTTGATGTCAGTAGCAGGAATTATGCCCCTTTGTGGTATCATTGGGAGCAATAGTGTCTTGTATTAGTGGAAGAAAAAAGTGCCTCTTGGGCTGGGATAAAGACAGCAAAAGAGCCTCATTTGGCTCCCGGGCCACAGGTTAGAGACCACTGATCTACAACATCTCTGAGGTGTTTCTATGCAGCACTACAGGTGAACAACGAGTCACACATTTTACTCCTGTTTTTGGACAACAGTTTGCCACTTTAATAAACAGAAACTCAGGTGTGGAAATAACGCTACCCCACGACCACTGGTTACTTATACTTTCTGTCCTGATACATGTTGTATAAATGACACATCTGGCTTTGTGAAATCAGGGAACTGCTATTTTTTGCTGTAAAAATAGGCTAGATTTGCATGATATGAAAGATGACCCATCAGTGAAACATAAGTCATGGTTGTCACCAACACCCTGTGGTTTACTAACAGCCATTTTCAGCAGCACTCCCGGCACTAGATACCTCTGTAAGCAGCCACATAACACAATTCCAACTCTACTTAAAAACTGTCATAATAATTAGTTGCTCAAAAAGAACAGAACCTTGTCTTTCTATTTCATGAACTATGTAATCTGTAGCTCACAAGCATACCAGCAAAACGTCAGGTGAACTATTACCATTAATGGTACCAAGAGCCTGACAATAGGTATTCTTACTGTCAAAGCAACATTAGGACATGCTGACAATAACACAATTACAGAAAACCGAACAAGAGACAAAGCCACTCTGTACAATTATTTCAGAACTGCACTTCACTGCTGTGGCCTGATTCTTAGCTAAAATTTGTGTAATGGAAATATCTCACCAAAATGTCTCAGCAAGCCTCAGAACAATTTAGATGCACTTACCTTGCACGCAATGCAGTGCTGGGGGTTCCTAGCAATGTCAGGAGAGCCCATTTTCGCTGGTAAACACTAACGCCATCTTGCTAGCAGCAAGTTGACTTTCACTTTGTAAGTTCTTTTCTCTGCTGTAAGGTAGCAATGGGAGGCTGTCTGCTGGCTTGTGGTCGGGGAAATTAACATACCGTGGTTTCCATGTACATAAATTACAAACTACAGACATTCTCAGTTCCTTCTTTGAATTACTTTTTTCCTTTACTCTTTTTTAGTTTCTTTCCAATGGTTGATGGCCTCTGGGTTTTTACTTAACTGACAGTAGCAAGGTACTTGGAAAATAAATTACAGTACTTGTGATAGATCAATACAGCCTTATTCACTGGAGAAATCATGTCCTTCACATGTGTCACTATTGTTGCAGCAAAAGGTGTGAGACATTGCACACAAAATACAATTTATAAGTCAATAAGACTGTCTTTATCTCTGCGCCTGTGGGTGACTTCTGGGTTATGCTGGGACTTAAAATAGGGTCTGGCTCCTACACATGGGGTATCTTTACTTTGAGGTGCATCCAGGCCTTGCAACAAGGCTGAAGTCACTGTGGAGTAAATTCAACCTTATGGCAGACCTCCGACATCAGAGCTGATCGATGCACTGTGTACACAGTGCTCTAAAGAAGGGGAGCTTGTCCCCCGAAACGAGTTAACTTTCCAATCACAGCATTTTAGACATCACCTTGCTGGAGTTTTGATTTTACATGTTTGTATCTGCTCATGTTTGTATGTTTTTGGCGATTTTATTAATAAAAATGGTGTTGGTGATAATGCGCTAGGAGTTTGCGCCCTTGTAAATTTCAAATCCACCCTGTACCAGTTTGAGCACAGTATAGTGAGTTCTGATTGGTTGCTAAAGGATACTGCACATTTTTTGGGGGGCTGGGAGCTCTGAAATGACTGTTAGCTATGGTTTACTGCCTTCCATGCAGCTTATATAGAACTAGTTTATATGGAACATACAGTGGGGAAAATTATATGATCCCCTGCAGATTTTGTAAGTTTTCCCACTTACAAAGAAATGAAGGGTCTGTAATTTTTATCATTTGTGTATTTAAAATGATAGAGACATAATATAAACCAAAAATCCAGAAAAACACATGATACAAATGTTATAAAATTGAACTGCAGTTCAGTGAGTAAAATAAGTATTTGATCCCCAAGCAAAACGTGACTTAGTACTTGGTGGAGAAACCCTTGTTGGCAAACACAGAGGTAAGATGTTTCTTGTAGTTGGTTACCAGGATTGTACACATCTCAGGAGGGATTTTGGTCCATTCTTTTTTACAGATCTCCTCTAAATCCTTAAAGTTTCTTGGCTGCCACTTGGCAACTGAAAGTTTCAGCTCCCTCAATAAATTTTCCTTCCATTAATTTTTATTGAAAAAATTTTGATCTTCAGATGGGCCTCTTCTGGCTGAGGGAAGAAGGTTCTCATCCAAGATTTTACAATAAATGGCCCCATTCATTGGCCCCTCAATGCAGCAAAGTCGGCCTGTACCTTTAGCAGAGAAACAGCCCAAAAGCATAATGTTTCCACCTCTGTGCTTGACTGTAGGGATGGTGTTCTTTGGGTCATAGTCAGCATTTTTCTTCCTACAAACATGGAGAGTTGAGTTAATGCCAAAGAGCTCAATTTTTGTCTCATCTGGCCACAGCACTTTCTCCCAATCCTTCTCTGAATCATTTAGATGTTCATTGGTAAACTTCAGATGGGCCTCTTCATGTGCCTTCTTGAGGAGGGGGATCTTGCGGGAGCTGCAGGATTTCAATCCATGGTGGCATATTGTGTAACTAATGGTTTGTTTGGTGACTGTGGTACCAACTGCCTTGAGATCATTCACATCCTCCCCCTGCGTAGTTCTGAGCTGATCCCTCACTTTTCTCATGATCATCCTCACCCCATGAGGCAAAATATTGCATGGAGCTCCAAACCGAGGGTGATTGATGGTTATTTTTTTTTGTTCTTTTAATAACAGTTTATTGAAAGAAATCGTAAGAACAGTAATGAACAGTGTGCATCTTATATAAAACATCTCAAGTAATCGTAAATCAGCATGTGATCAATTAACAAGCATCAATATACAGTTTTAATATGTAATACAAAGTAGTAAACTTATACAGGGAGTCCATAAGAGGGTATCTGCCACGAGTGGCAGTGAGCAGGTTTAGTAGGGAGGCTACGTATATAGTGTCATGGGAATCAAGATATCTGGGGTCTTATGATAGTGTGATTCACGGGGCTTCTGTAGAGGCTTAGTTATTGAGTATTGAGGAGTGCAGCTGTTCTTCTCCATAGTGTATCATTAGGGTATAAGAGGAAAGTGTTAGTCTCTAGAGAGGGGAGAGGGCTGGTCACCTGAGTTTGGGGAGCGAGTAGAGAGCTATGGAGTGGCACAGGAAGGGGGGGTATGGAGATAGGGAGTAAGCACCTATAAGGGAAGAAGGAGGGAGAGAGGGAAGAGAAAGAAAAAGAAAAAAAGGGGGGGGGGGTGGGATATGGATGGGATGGTAGAACCTAGGAATAGGGTAAGAAGGGTAGGGTGTGAGAGGGGGTAAGGGGTAGTGGAGAGATTAAGAACCTGGCAAGGGCCCTCCAGTGTCGGTCTCCTGCCAGCTCCAGTCTGTCCCAATATATATTTTTTAAATATATTCTTAAGATTTTTTTTAACATATAAAAAATCATTTTTACATATATTTGTAAATGCATTCCAAAAATGTAAAAGACATACAGTATATTTGAAATGTGTGTTTAAAAATATTTTTCATATATGTTGTAATAAAAACGCATTTCAACATGTAGAATATATATATATATACCGTATTTTTCGCACCATAAGACGCACTTTTTTCCCCCCAAAAAGGGGGGAAAATGTCAGTGCGTCTTATGGAGCGAATATAAAGCGGCCGGTCCGGTATTTTTGCGGCCACCATGTCAGAATACCGGGCCGGCCGCTCAGCTGTTGTCTCCTGCAGGGCCTTACCTGTTCCTCGCTCCAGCGCTTCACAGTCTTCCCGCGCTGGCTTCTGTGACAGCCGGGTGCCCACTGCGCATGTGCTGCGCTTTGTGAATGATCCGGTGTCTTCTGGGACACATGAAGGGTCCCAGAAGGCGCCGGGCCATTCACAAAGCGAAGCGCTTCTCGCACCTGCGCAGTGGGCACGCGGCTGTCACAGAAGCCGGCCCGGGAAGAAGAGGAAAGGAAACTCCGCGGAAGTGGGAGCGGGTACCTGTCAAATTCAGGTAACCGCTCCCCCTCCCTTCCCAAAGGTCAGCAGTCTCTGGTCATTCCCTGCACTGTCTGCAGTCTCTGGTCATTCCCTGCACTGTCTGCAGTCTCTGGTCATCCCTGCACTGTCCGCAGTCTCTGGTCATTCCCTGCACTGTGTCCGCAGTCTCTGGTCATTCCCTGCACTGTCTGCAGTCTCTGGTCATCCCTGTACTGTCTGCAGTCTCTGGTCATCCCTGCACTGTCCGCAGTCTCTGGTCATTCCCTGTACTGTGTCCGCAGTCTCTGGTCATTCCCTGCACTGTGTCCGCAGTCTCTGGTCATCCCTGTACTGTCTGCAGTCTCTGGTCATCCCTGCACTGTCCGCAGTCTCTGGTCATTCCCTGTACTGTGTCCGCAGTCTCTGGTCATTCCCTGCACTGTGTCCGCAGTCTCTGGTCATTCCCTGCACTGTGTCCGCAGTCTCTGGTCATTCCCTGCACTGTGTCCGCAGTCTCTGGTCATTCCCTGCACTGTGTCCACAGTCTCTGGTCATTCCCTGCACTGTCTGCAGTCTCTGGTCATTCCCTGCACTGTCCGCAGTCTCTGGTCATTCCCTGCACTGTCCGCAGTCTCTGGTCATTCCCTGTACTGTGTCCGCAGTCTCTGGTCATCTCCTGAACTGTGTCCGCAGTCTCTGGTCATCCCCTGTACTGTGTCCGCAGTCTCTGGTCATCTCCTGCACTGTGTCCGCAGTCTCTGGTCATTCCCTGTACTGTGTCCGCAGTCTCTGGTCATCTGCACTATGTCTGCAGTCTCTGGTCATCTCCTGTACTATGTCCGCAGTCTCTGGTCATCTCCTATACTGTGTCTGCAGTCTCTGGTCATCTCCTGCACTGTTTCTGCAGTCTCTGGTCATCTCCTGTACTGTGTCCGCAGTCTCTGGTCATCTCCTGTACTGTGTCCGCAGTCTCTGGTCATCTCCTGTACTGTTTCTGCAGTCTCTGGTCATCTCCTGTACTGTGTCCGCAGTCTCTGGTCATCTCCTGCACTGTTTCTGCAGTCTCTGGTCATCTCCTGTACTGTGTCCGCAGTCTCTGGTCATCTCCTGTACTGTGTCCGCAGTCTCTGGTCATCTCCTGTACTGTTTCTGCAGTCTCTGGTCATCTCCTGTACTATGTCTGCAGTCTCTGGTCATCTCCTGTACTGTGTCCGCAGTCTCTGGTCATCTCCTGCACTGTTTCTGCAGTCTCTGGTCATCTCCTGTACTGTGTCCGCAGTCTCTGGTCATCTCCTGTACTGTGTCCGCAGTCTCTGGTCATCTCCTGTACTGTGTCCGCAGTCTCTGGTCATCTCCTGTACTGTGTCCGCAGTCTCTGGTCATCTCCTGTACTGTGTCCGCAGTCTCTGGTCATCTCATGTACTGTGTCCGCAGTCTCTGGTCATCCCCTGTACTGTGTCTGCAGTCCATTGGTTCAGAATATTTTTTTTTCTTGTTTTTCACCTCTAAAACCTAGGTGCGTCTTATGGTCAGGTGCGTCTTATGGAGCGAAAAATACGGTATATATATATATACAGTATTAAGAAATATGTTGAATATGCCAAAATTTTAGTATTTCAAATATATGCCAATATATTTGGGAAGAATATTTTTAAAATATATTTCAAATATATTTTTCTTCCATGTGGGTGGGGACAGGGACTATGTGGCTCGTGGTCTTTGTATTATCAAGTGAGCCTACAGTAAAAGGTTAGGACCATAAGGGAGGTATGTTTAAGGGTTGGTTTCCATCAAATGTTGGAATTGGCCAGTTGATTTGAACTGGGACCAGCATGCCCATATTTTGGAGAATTTTGAGGGGGTATCTTTTGCGATGTGTATTAATTCTTCCATTTCTTCGATTTTACATAATCTTGTTAACCATTCAGACATGGGGGGAGGGCGGGTTTAATTCCAGTGGATCGGTATGCAGAGTTTGGCTGCGTTGACCATGTGCATCGCTAGCAATTTGCGGTATAGCTTGGCAGGGAGAGAAGAGTGGTGTAGGAGGAATTGCGCCTGCATATAATCTAATGTGTATGTGGTCACTTGGGAGATAATGTTGTGAACTGCCGTCCAGTAGGATTGGATCAACAGACATGTCCACCACAGATGTAATAACGTACCCGGTTCTTTGTTATATCTCCAACAGCAGTTGGTTGTCTCTGGGTGAAATATGTGTATCTGTGTAGGGGTTCTATACCAAAGTGACAGAATTTCTTGGGTTGTGACGTTTATGAAGCATTTATGCGTGTTAGTAAAGATGTGTTCCCAGTGGTCTTGGGAGAGATCCAAATGTAGATCCCTCTCCCAAGCTTGGCATGTTTTGCTGGAGTTGGGAAGAATGTCTGCATAGAGCAATCCGTGCACTTGGGAAATCACGTGTTGTTGGAGCATAGGGACTCAAAGGGAGTCAAGGAATGAGAAACAGATGAGCCATCTACTGTATATCCTGGAGAAAGTGGCATATTTGAGTGTATGTCCAAAAAGGGAAGAGGGGATTATTCATTTAGGAAGAAAGAGTTGCACAGTCGAGAGGGTGCCCAGCTCAGAAGAAGTGAGAAGCTTGAATTTTTGGGTGAGGCCAAGAGTTTGCCAGGAATTGTTGGGACATTCCAGGGGGGAATTCTGGGTTAAGACGAATTGGCATCAGAGGCCCCGGTATGGATAAAAGTTTGAATTTGGACGCTACTTCTAAGAAACCGTGTAAAGTAGGGCTAATAAAAGGATGTTGTCAAAGCGATGTCGGTATGTGTCCGGGAGAGATCCAGGGCACTGAGTCTAGAGATAGCGTAGTGAAAGAAGCCTCAAGCTTAACCCAATCCTTAAGCCATGTGTGTACGTTCCAGTCTACAATTCTAGCTAAATGACAGGCCCTATATTAGCTGTGTAAATCAGGGAGTCCAGTCCCCCCTTTTGGTTTAGGTAGGTTTCTTTGTGCGTAGCTTATTCTTGGGCAGCGTTTGATCCATAAAGAAGAGGTACATGCTTGACGATAAGTTGTAAAGAATGTCAAAGGCAATTTGATGGGAATGGTTTGGAGGACATAAAGGAAGTGTGATAAGACGTTCCATCTTTAGAATAGCTGCGCGTCCAAACCAAGAGACGCGTGGCTTGTCCCATTTGCGAAGGTCGCGTAGGATAACACGAAGTATGGGCAGAAAATTTTTGGAATAAAGGTCACTTAGGTTGGTAGGTATTTGGATGCCAAGATATGTGAGGGAGTCTGGCTGCCATTTAAACAGGAAATGTGTCTGGCATTGAGTCACTATGGTTTTTGGGAGTGTGATATTGAGCGCATTGGATTTTGTAAAATTTATCTTAAGGTTAGATAAGGAGTGAAAGGAGTTCAAAGTCTTGCAAAAGATTGGGAAGGGTGACATGGGATTCTGTGAGAAAAAGGAGAATGTTATTGGCAAAAGCCGCTAGCTTATGAGTGTGATTATTAGTGACCGTGAGACCTTTAATGTCCTCATTTGCTCTGAGCCGGCACATCATAGGTTCAAGGGTTAGTATGAAGAGTGTTGGTGACAATGGGCATCCTTGTTGCATTCCATTGCAGAGAAGGCATTCGACAGGTGGCTGTTAACACGGATTCTCGCAGTGGGTGTGGTGTAAAGGGACATCATAAAGTTAATCATATTGTTGCATAATCCTATGGATCGAAGAACTGCTCCCATATAGTCCCAGGCCACCCTGTCGAATGCCTTCTCAAGGGATAGAAAGAATCCTGATTGTTTTAAGGAAGTGAGCCAGTGGGGTTATTTTGTATATCTTCCATTTGCAAATAATCATTTCAATGGTTTTCTCATTCTCACCAAGCTTGTTGCTGATGGTGTTGTAGCCCATTCTAGCCTTGTGCAGGTCTACAAAAACTTGCTCCTGACATCATTTGACATCTCTTTGGTCTTGCCCATGATGGTGAGGAAGAATGAGATTCTGTGGAAAGGGGTATTTTATACACATAATGAGTTGTCATTAGCAGTACATTCTTAAATTGACAGGACTAATCTGTGTACCACATGAGCATATAGCCAGTCTGTGGGAGCCAGAAATATTGTTGGTTGGTAGGGGATCAAATACTTATTTTACTCACTGAACTGAAACTCAATTTATAACATTTGTATCATGTGTTTTTTCTGGATTTTTGGTTGATATTCTGTCTCTATTGTTTAAAATACACCTGTGATAAAAATTATATACCCTTCATTTCTTTGTAAGTGGACAAACTTAAACAATCTGCAGGGTTTCAAATAATTATTTTCCCCACTGTATAGAGCAGACTATTTTGAATGATACAATGACAACCTGTACAAACTACTATCTATTGAATAACTTTTTATGGTTCTACTCTGTAATAGCCTTAGCTGCCCCCTCTTTATAGGCAGTGAGTAGGCCATTTTTGATATTTGAGCAGCTAATACTGCTTGTATCTGATTTAGACCATTTTATTATATTATAAATATGTATTTACATATTTAGGCAATACTTTATATCTCTGAGATGTTTTTGAATATACTGAAGCCCTATACATACTTTCCAAGCCTTTTATCCAATACAGGTAGAATTACTTTGCTGGCAAATTTATTATGACATGCTTGTTATCACTATACTATATATATTTACAAATGTAAGAGCTATATATTTATTTATTTTCAGGATGGAAATCTGTGTCCCCAGTGGCCAGTGCATGCCCCCCCTTTCCTCTGGGCACGTCTCTAGTGGTTTAGGTCCTCTGTGGATGTTGGGCAGGGTGGTGACATTTGCCTATGTTTTTAATGTTTATGTCCACCACTGTCTGTTCAATTGTAAGTAAAAGACATACTATGGACTGTATACTTATATCAATTCATTTTTATACATGCTATACGATACCTATGCAATTATATTATAGAGATGGGACACCCTTGACACCCCTGAAGAAAGAGTCAAATATCTAAAAAATACGTTGTGTGAATGAAGACATTATTAGGCTCATGTTTTTTGTCACAGCCTTATACTTGTGTGACATTATGTACTATAAGCTGTATTTATGGTTTTAATTAAATTGATTTTGTATCTTGAATTAAATATATATTTTTATTTATAATATTGTATGTGTGCTGTTAAAGTCCCATTGGGGAAATACAGTCTATTAAGTTACTGCTCTTAAAGCCAACGCCAGCCAAGTATTTAAATTTTGGACAGCATATGAAAGAGTTTAAATGTCTGCCATGTCTATTTTTAAAATTTTTATATTTTCCCTTAATCCCCTGTCCCTGTCACACCTATACAAGAGATTTGGGGTGCATTTGTCACCAGGACAATACATCACCAAGCTACTGTTGCCCATGCAGGAAA